TATTACTGTTAGCATATTTTTATTCAGCTTGAAGAAGACTTTGTTAGACTTCCTCATTTCTTATAGGGTTAGGTCAAGTGGTGATGAACTTCCTCAGTTTTCATTTGTCTAAGAAAGTCTTCCTTATTACTGAAGAATAGCATTGCTGGTAAAATATTCTTGGTTTGCAGTGCCCCCACCCCTTCCCCTTTGGCATTTAGAACATATCTCACTGTCACTGTATGCAGTGTTTTAGCTAAGAAAACCACTTGTATCTTTATGGGGGTTCCCTTGAGTGATGACTTTCTTTTTTCTTGTAACTTTCAAAATAATTTGTCATCACTTTGAGTTTTATATTAATGTGTCTTGGTGCAGTCCTCTGTGGAGTGAATCTGTTTGGGGACTTGCAAGCCTCATGTACCTGAATGTCCATTTCTTTTCCCAGATTTGGAAAGTTTTCATTCATTATTTCTTTAAATAAAGTTTCTGACCCTTCCTCACACTCTCTTCCTTACTAGGGCTACCATTATGCAAATATTATTTTGTTTCACAGTGTCCCATAATTCATGTAGACTTTTTTCTTCACTCTTTTTAGTCATTTTATCTTTTTTCTCCTTTGACTGGATAATTTCAAAGGCCTACTTTCCATTTCATATTCATTGTTTTGATTGATCAAATTAGCTATTAATGCTCTACATTTCATTCATCATACTCTTCACTGTAATTTGTTTGATTCTTTTTCATATTTTTCTGGATCTCAGTTTAAAGCCTTATTTTACTTGTATATCATTTTCTTTATTTTGTTGAATTGTCTGTCTGTGTTTTCTGGTAGCTTACTGAGCTTCATTAAAACAATTATTGTGAGACTTAGAGAATGAAGTTATGGTTCCTGGGTGGGGGAAATGGGGGCAAAGGGATAGTTATGGAGTTTGGGGTCTGCCTGTATACAATGCTATATTTAAAATGGATAACCACCACGGACCTATTGTAGAGCGCAGCGAACTTTTCTCAGTGTTATGTGGCAGCCTGAATGAGAGGGAGCTAAGGGAAGAATAGATACATGTATATGAATGACTGAGTCCCTTTGCTCTCCACCTGAAACTGTCACAACATTGTTAATCACCTATACTTTATACTCCAATGTAAAATAAAAAATTAAAAAATTATTGTGAGAGACTTCCCTGGCAGGCCAGTAGTTAAGACTCTGGGCTTTCAGTGCTGGGGCACGGGTTCCATCCTTGCTTGGGGAACTGAAAGCCTGCATGCCTTGTAGCCTGGTCAGATTATACTGCAAAGCTGCAGTCATCAAGATGGTATGGTACAGGCACAAAATCAGAAATATAGACCAATGGAACAAGGTAGAAAGCCCAGAAATAAACCCATGCACTTATGGGTACCTTAATTTTGACAGAGGAGGCACAAATATACAATGGGGCAGAGACAGTCTCTTCAATAAATAGTGCTGGGAAAACTGGACAGTTACATGTGAAAGAGTGAAAGTAGAACACTTCCTAACACCATACACAAAGATAAACTCAAAATGGATTAAAGACCTAAATGTAAGACCAGAAAATATAAAACTTTTTAGAGGAAAACATAAACTCAATGACATAAATCAAAGCAAGATCCTCTATGACCCACCTCCTAGAATAATGGAAGTAAAAACAAAAGTAAGCAAGTGGGACCTAATTAAACTTAAAAGCTTTTGCACAGGAAAGGAGACTATAAACAAGGTGAAAGGACAGTCCTCAGAGTGGGAGAAAATAATAGCAAATGAACAACTGACAAAGGATTAATTTCTAAAATATGTAGGCAGCTCATACAATTCAATGCCAGAAAAACAACCCAATCAAAAAGTAGGAAAAAGACCTAAACAGACATTTCTCCAAAGAAGACATACAGATGGCTAACAAACACATGAAAAGATGCTCAACATCATTCATTATCAGAGAAATGCAAATCAGAACTACAATGAGATATCACCTCACACCAGTCAGAATGGCCATCATCAAAAAGTCTACAAACAGTAAATGCTGGAGAGGGTGTGGAGAAAAGGGAACCCTCTTGAACTGGGAATGTAAATTGATACAGCCACTATGGAAGATGGTATGGAGATTTCTTAAAAAACTAGGAATAAAACCACCATATGACCCAGCAATCCCACTCCTAGGCATATACAATCTAGATGTCCATCAACAAATGAATGGATAAAGAAGTTGTGGTATATATACACAATGGACTATTACCCAGACATAAAAAAGAATGCATTTGAGTCCTTTCTGAGATGAATGAACCTGGAGCCTATTATACAGAGTGAGGTAAGTCAGAAAGAGAAAGATAAATACTGTATACTAACACATATATATGGAATCTAGAAAGTTGGTACTGAAGAATTTATTTTCAGGGCAGCAGGAGAAACAGACATAGAGTACAGACTTATGGACATGGGGAGAGGGGAGGAGAGAGTAAGATGTATGGAGAGAGTAACATGGAAACTTACATTCCCATATGTAAAATAGGTAGCCAATGGGAATTTTCTGTATGTCTCAGGGAACTCAAGCAGGGGCTCTGTATCAACCTAGAGGGGTGGGATGGGGAGGGGGCTGGGATGGGGAGGGAGGTGGGAGGGGGAAGTTTCAAGAGCCAGGGACATATGTATACCTATGGCTTATTCATGTTGAGGTTTGACAGAAAACAACAAAACTCTGTAAAGCAGTTATCCTTTAATCAAAATGTAAATTTTTCAAAAGTTAAAAAAATAATTATTATAAATTTTTTGTTTGACAGCTTGTAGCTCTCCATTTCTTTGGGGCAACTGATTATTGTTCCCTCAGGGGTGTCATGTTTCCTCGATTATTGTGTTTGTGTTTCCTGAAGCCTTATGTTGATTAGTACCTTTCATGGAGAGTCATTTCTTTCAGGCTTTACGTAAGGTTTTGGTGGGCAAGAGCCTCACCTCTGTGTGGGTGTGAGTGTGCTAGCTTGATGGACAGTGGCTGCTGCACCCACAACAACACCCAGTGGCTTTGTTTGCAGCTCTGTCACCTGAGGTCAGTGTCAGCACAGACTGCAGGGTCCTCAGTAGCTAAAGCCGTGGTGTCCACAGTAGAAAAGACTGCTAGGGCTCTCCTGATTTCTTTCTCCCATGGGAAATGTTTTGACTTAGGGGGTCCCTCTTAATGTGGAGTTTGGCTCTTGGAGGCGGAATGCTTCATAGGGGTGATGGCATTGGTGTCTGATGTGTGGATTCTGTGGAGCAGATATAGATCTGAACTCTAGGATGTGAATAGATGCAAGGCAGTAGCACTTTTAGGATCCCAGACACTGAATAGTCTGTCTCAGTGTTGACTTCGCTTTGTGAGATGCAGTGGCACAATGAGCAGTGGTGGAGCCTTGACCAGAGTATGGGTATACACAGAGAGACAGTGTCTCTGGGGTCTGAGGAACTAGCACACCCACAGTGGCCATGAATCTGGCACCTGAGACATTCAGACATTCAGGTGACAGACGTGGAGTCAGGTTATAGAATATGAACATCTGTGGTTTAGGTGGGGCTCAAGGGTTTAGTGTGTGTTCAGGATTTATGGGGATGGCAGCTGTGGTTCTGAAATAGAGCAATAGCTACTTGGGACAGGGATGATTCACAATATTATTCTCTTGCAGGTGCCTCATGGTAGTGGCTATTAGTTACCTTAGTGTGAGAGCTTCCAGTGTCCTCTGCAGAGCAGGCAGCTGGGGTTCACACCTGTAAACACTTGCCTTCCTCTGCTCTGCACACTGTGGGGTCTGCAAGTGTGGCAGGGCCTGTTGAGGCTCTCTAAGGTAAAAGCTACTGGGATCCTTTGCAGTGCAGGCCATTGGGAATGTTGACAGCAGCCATCATTTGGCTGATGCACTTAGTTCCCACCCTTCATCTTATTTCCTGTCCATCTCCACGTGTTTGTTAAGGTAATATCTTTGGTGATCATTTTCGTGTTGTTCTTTTTCCATTTCAATTTCAATTTGTTGCTGCAGTATCTTAATTGGATTCCTGAGTCTTCCAAGGGCAACTTTTGTTTGCTTTTGTGTGTTTTTTGTTGGTGGCGAAGGCTCATGTCCTCTGCTGTTTTGCTGACATCACTCTCCTGTATCTTTTTTCTGCATCTGTTATGTGCTGAGTTGCTTTGTGACAGTACAAGCTGTTCATCTGTCCTGTTTTTCCATTAGGATTTTTATCCTGCATGTCCTATGTAGTTGCTTAACTAGTGCTTATAGATGTCCCAGGATTGACATGACTCCAGTCATGGTGAGGTGGGCTCAGAGGGGGCCTAGTCCTGGTAAATGGCTGCTGAGAAGAGCATGACATCAGACTGTGTTCAGATCATAGCAGGAACCTGTCTTTGTTCAACCAGGGTTTAGGTGCCATTTCCAGTGCATGGCCATACTACTTCTATCTTTTCGTTTCCACTGTTAACACTTGACTGACTTGTCAGTTGTACTGCTTGTTATTCCTACTGTGACTTTAGCCCAGGGATAATCTGGACTGATTATTTGGACTCCACATCTCTGGTCTTCACGCCTCTCTGGACTCCACGTCTCTCCCATTTCTCTCACTACCTTTTCTGTAGTACTCACCAACATTATTGTGCTATGATATGTTTGCATTTCTCTGAATTGATTTTGAATAGCAGCTGATATGTTGCTGTGGGATTTTAATTTGAGCTTAGATAACCTTTTCTACCCAGTCTCAGCAGAAAAGTCCTACAGGAAGCCACTGGAAGAGAAGTAAGTCATAGACCCTGCCTCTCTTCTTGTGTCCTACCCTGTTTCTGTTTTTTTCTCCTGATGAGGTCTCCATTATTGTGTGACCTTGACACTCAGTAATACACAACAGTTGGCTGTTCTTCCAGCTGAATTCCAACTCCTGTATCTTGAAAAGCATCTCATAGACTCATACCTGGATGAGATAGGTACACATTAATGATGAGCTGGACCCTTCTCTATAGTCAATATGTACTTGACCTGCATTTCTTTCTGTTCAGGTTGCTGCTGTGGAACAGAGAATGCAGAGGCACCTTCTGAACAGATCACTTCTCTAGGAGTATCACAGGCTAGGACTCCAAAGGCAGCTTTGTCTTCCCAGAAGATGCACCCCTGTGAGACTTGTGGTGCAGTCTTGAAAAAAGTTTTCCACTTGTGTGACCACCAGGAAACACAACACACCCAGAAACTGTTGAGGTGTGGAGCATGTGTGAAACAGTTTTGTTTTAGTGCAAATTTTCAGCACCGCCAGGAATGGCACATGGGAGAGAAAATCCTCAGAAGTAGTGTGGATGAGGCCAAGTTTTTCAAGAGCTGCAGATTCCTTGTGTTACAGAAGCCATTTACCTGCAGGGAGCTTGAAAAGGACTTTCCGACCATTGTGGGACACCTGCAGCAACAGACCACTCATACTGTGGAGAAGCCAAATATAGGCACCCAATGTGAGTCAACTTTACAGAGCAGAAGTCATCACACCTCAGGAGAATGCAAGAAAGCCCTCAGCCCCAAACACACACTTGTTCAGGATCAGAGTGTCCATACTGGAATACCTTGTTTTGTGTGCAGCGAATGTGGGAAAGCATTCAGGTACAAATCCTCATTTGTTGTGCACCAGAGAGTGCACGCTGGAAAAAACCTTCATATGTGTGGTGAATGTGGGAAATCCTTTAAGCAAAGCTCAATCCTCTATAAACATCGAAGAATTCATACTGGGGCAAGGCAATACAAGTGCAGCAAGTGTGGGAAATCCTTAAGTCACAAATCTGTCCTCATTTCTCCCCACCCATGGTGCAATGGAGAAAGGAGTTATATGTGCAGTGAATGTTCGAAATCTTTTAGCCATAGGTCAGTATTCATTCCACACAGGAGAGTTCAAACTGGAGAACGGCCTTATAAATGTAGTGACTGTGTGAAATCTTTTACTTCAGTGTCTGCACTCTGTTATCATCAGAGATCCCACACTGGAGAACGACCTTACATATGCAGTGATTGTGGGAAATCTTTTATCTCTAGCTCTGACCTCCGTTATCATCAGAGAGTTCATTCTGGAGAAAGGCCTCATGAGTGCAGTGAATGTGGGAAATCTTTTATCACTCGTACTGCTCTCCGTTATCATCACAGAGTTCACACTGGAGAAAGGCCTTACGAGTGTAGTGAATGTGGGAAATCTTTTACCCGAAAAAATAACCTAATTATACATGTAAGAGTTCATTCAGGAGAAAGGCCTTATGAATGTAGTGAATGTGGGAAATCTTTTACTTTTAGCTCTAGCCTTCGTTATCATCACAGAGTCCACACTGGAGAAAGACCATATGAGTGCACTGAATGTGGGAAATCTTTTAACAATAGGTGGACGCTCATTCGACACCGGAGAATTCACACAGGAGAAAAGCCTTATGTATGCAATAAATGTGGGAAATCTTTTTCCTGTAGCTCCACCCTACAGTATCATGAGCGAGGTCACCTTGGGGAAAGGCCTTACGGGTGTGATGAATGTGGGAGATCTTTTACTACTAGCTCTGCCCTCCGTTATCATCAGAGAATTCACACAGGAGAAAGGCCTTATGAGTGCAATGAATGTGGGAAATCTTTTATCTCTAAGTCTGACCTCCATTATCATCAGAGGGTTCATTCTGGAGAAAGGCCTTATGAGTGTAGTGAATGTGGGAAATCCTTTATCCGAAGGAATAACCTGCTTTTACACCAGAGAGTTCACACAGGAGAAAGGCCTTACAAGTGTAGTGAATGCGGGAAATCTTTTAACAATAGATGGACACTTATTCAACACCAGAGAGTTCATACAGGAGAAAAGCCTTATGTGTGCAGTGAATGTGGGAAATCTTTTACCTCCAGCTCTACATTATGTTATCATCAGAGAGTTCATGCAGGAAAAAGGCCTTATGAGTGCAGTGAATGTGGGAAATCTTTTACCTCTAGTTCTACCCTCCGTTATCATCAGAGAGTTCACACAGGAGAAAGACCTTATGAGTGCAGTGAGTGTGGGAAATCTTTTACTTTTAGTGCCAGCCTCCGTTATCATCACAGAGTGCACACTGGAGAAAGGCCTTATGAGTGCAATGAATGTGGGAAATCCTTTAAGGATAGATCGCAATTCAATAAACACCGGAGAGCTCACACTGGAGAAAGACCTTATGAGTGTGGTGAATGTGGGAAATCTTTTAGCCAAAAATCTTCCCTCTCAACACACCAGAAAATTCATAATAGAGAACGGTCTTATGAGTGTAGTTCATGTGGGAAATCTTTCACCTCTATCTCTGGCCTTGGTTATCATCAGAGAGTTCACAGGGGAGAAAAGCCTTATCAGTGCAATGAATGTGGGAAGTCCTTTACCAATAGCTCTATACTGATTCGACACCAGAGAGTTCACACAGGAGAGAGACCTTATGTGTGCAGTGAATGTGGGAAATCTTTTACTAGTAGTGCCACCCTTTCTTATCATCAGAGAGTTCATGCAGGCAAAAGGCCTTATGAATGCAGCAAATGTGGGAAATCTTTTACCTCCAGTTCTACCCTTCGTTATCATCAGAGAGTTCATGCAGGAGATAGGCCTTATGAGTGCAGTGAATGTGGGAAATCTTTTATCTCTAGCTCCAAACTCCGTTATCATCAGAGAGTTCACACAGGAGAAAGGCCTTACGTGTGCAGTGAATGTGGGAAATCTTTTAGAGACAGTTCCCAGTTTAGTCAACACCGGAGAGGTCACACTGGGGAAAGACCTTATGAGTGTAGAGAATGTGGGAAATTTTTTATGCGAAAATCTACCCTTTCTCAACATCAGAGAGTTCACACTAGAGAAAGGCCTTAGATGTTTAGGGGATGTGCAGTTATCTTGTTCAATGTAAGGATACCAAAGAGAACTGAGGATTCATCTATCTGAATTAGCTCCCAGACATCTGCGTATGCACAAAGGAAAGATGGCTCATGATTTTCAGTTATGTGGGAAATGTGTGGCTATGTTGCAGGCTCTAACCTTTCCAGGGTTCTTCCCACATATATGTCACTCCCATCTCTGTGGCCAAAGCCACTTCACATCTAGCACTTGGCAGGTTCACTCTGTGTAGTCAGGGAGACTTACTGTGTCTGCCCATGTTTTAGCCAAGTTAGGAGTCACTTGAGGCCTACAGTGCCAACTTTCACTCCTCCCTGACTATCTTGGAAATGGACCTGGTCAGTGTCAGCCCAGAAACTATGAAAAGTTCAGCTGGCAACTTGCAGAGAATAGCAGCAGGGATGTGTTGATCGCATTTGATACTAGTAATAAGGTTTTCAAGCTTCCAAATGATGAATTCTTGCTGCAGGTTGCTTTGGCTCATGCAATAATTGAGACCGTCTAAGCTCTTAAGTCCTCTTTCATCTTGGACATTGTATTTACTGTGCAGGTAATTCACAGATTTGTGCTGTGTAAGCATAAAGGGGAGAACAGTTTTTAGGGGTCTCAAAATTTCTGTTTGAGGGGGGCCGCTATGTTGACAATAGCTTGCCAGATATGACCAGGTCTGCCTTGTAACCGCAGATTTCTAGGAAAGATTGCAGGGATTTCTGGTTTTCACTTGAAGCCTGGAGACTTTGTTTTAGGAGTCTCCCAGGTGACACTGAGAAGCAGGCAGATGAGAATCTCAAGTGCTTCTGAGCATAGCATTATTATTATTATTTTCTTTCTAAACAGAGATATTCCAGGGTGTTTCAGCACTGTGGAGGGAAATCTTCCCCAGGTCTTCAGAGAAACATGTTCCCTGATTAGTGTAACTGGTTGTAATACCACTGGGTCCATAACTGGTGCAGAAATACTGATTTGTAGGGAGAGGAGGGCTGCAGTCAACTAGTGTACTGTGCTGCTTCTAAACGTGCATACACAACTGTCCATGTAAAAGTGATAGTCCCTCTGTATTGTTCATCTCAAAGCCATTACCACATGGACTGGAAGAAAATAAAGAGGGTCTAGTCCCTGGCTGTGGCTCTTGTGACCCAGACAGCATTCCCATTGACTTTCAGTGGAAATGTTCTCTATTACTCACCATATTTGTTGCCACTGATGCAAGTTTGACTACCACCCCACCCCACCCCCCCACGCCCCCAGGGCATAGAGAGAGATGATGGAGTATATGGTTACCATACCTCTCTGTCAAAAAGACTGGGGCATAGAGATCTTTAAATTGAGCTATTTTTTAAAAGCTTTACTAATGTATAATATCTGGCTTCCCCGATGGCTCAGCAGGTAAAGAATTTGCATGCAAAAAAAAAAAAAAACACCTGCATGCAATGCAGGAGATACAGGAGACCAGGGTTCAATCTCTGGGTTGGGAATATCCCCTGGAGAAGGAAATGGCAACCCACTAGAGTATTCTTGCCTGGAAAATTCCATGGACAGAGAACCCCGTGGGGTACAGTCTGGGTCACAAAGGGTTAGATATGACTGAGCTACTAACACACACACACACAAAGTATAATTTACATTTGCTTAGCTGAGTGCATTTAAAGTACAATTTGACAAATTTTGACATAGGTGTGAACCTCTGAGACTATCACTATAGTCCTGATAGTGACCATATCTGTCATTGTGTATTTACCTCATTTGTTCTATAATCTCTTTGCCTTTCTCACCGTTCCAAGTAACCACTGATTTACTTTCCTTAAAATAGATACCTTGCATTTTCTTGAATTGATGTTATTGGAATCATATGCTATTTACTATATTTTCCTTTCTTTTATATATCGTAATTACTTTGAGATTCATCAGTGATGTGTAGTGCTTTTTGTTTTTTGACTTGACAAAAATATGACATTTTTCAATATGCCATGGTTAGTTTATCCATTCTCTTTATGAGTATTTGACTTGCTTCTAGAATTTGACTTCTGAAAATAAAGCTAGTATAAAAATTGTGTTAGATCTTTGTATGAATATGTGTTTATCTTTTGTCAGTAACTTAGAATGCAGTGTATGAGCCACAGCTGTTTTACTCTTGTTGGCTGCAGTGGGTTTTTATTGCCGGCCAAATGCTTAGTTGCCCTGCCACATGTGGAATCTTAGTTCCTTGACCAGGGCTTTAACCCCAACCCCTGCATTGGGAGGAGGATTCTTAAATACTGCACCACCAGGGAAGTCCCACAACAGTTTTACTTTTGAAGAAGCTAACATTGTGATCTAAAATGATTGTGCCTTTTGCATCTTACCAGCAATATATTGAGAATTCCACCTCGCCCATATTCTGAATACTTGGTTTATCGATTGCTTTAATTTTAGCTTTTTTTTTTTTAGAGTTATATCACTTTTTGTTTTAATTGAGTTTCTGTAAGGATTCATGATGAGCAGTTTTTCAGATGTTCATCTCCTAGCTATGTATCTTTGTTAAAATGTCTGCTTAAATCTTTTTCTTTGTTGGCCTTTAGCTATTTTCCTTTAACAAATAGGACAACAAAACCACAAAGATGTATGTTGGAATTTCACTCATCTTTTAATACTGTGAGTAATTTGCTTTATGGAGTAACTTTTCAATACTGGCAGAATTTTTTAACCTAAAAGTTTTTTTTTTTTTTTCAGTGTTCACAGTGCAGTGGATGCTTAGACATATGCTTTTAAATTTTACCTGCATTGTTAACATATTTTCTATCACATTCTTGAGTTTAGTCACTTAAGAATACAATAAAGCCTTTCTTTATAATGCTTGCGCTTTTTCTTGGTTCTATCACCATAGAAATTGGTGGATTAGAGATGGGGACAAGGTTTCATCAGGATGGACTGGTCTTTACTTTGAATCCCAAAGCCTGGTTGGGAGGGAATGGAGGTCAATGGTCAGACTCCTCAAGTCCTCATCCAGGCTACCTGAGTTTAAATTTTGTATACCTGATCAATTCAAGGACCCACAGGCAAACACTCTTCCCCACGCCCTTTTCCTTTTATGTAAAATGGAGATTAGGAGCTGCCCTGCCTCTGATCCACTGAAAGATGTGAAGAGGAGAGCTGTCAATTCCCATGCAGCTCCTTCTACTGGTGAGATCTTGGTGCCAGGAACCTTTAGCTCTCCCTGATATCCTCAGACCTCTCTATCCCTGGGTGCATGCATGTCAGAAATAAATGGGGCTTCCCACAATTCCTGATCTGGGTCAGCCCGCAGGGACTTGTCTGCATCCAGGAGGGGGCTGCTGGTTAGTGAGGTCTCAGTGTGGATTTGCCAGTGGGAAGTAATCTGGGAAACTTGCTAAAGCTTCCTGAGCCTCATTTGGCTGACTTTGACATTGAGGTGTTAGCTTTGGCCCTGGGAGGGTCAATAAAGATAACAACACTGAGCACTTACAGCAAAATTCCAGGCTTCGTATTTTGAACTTGGATGTGCCATTTATTTTAAAAATGTCATATAAAATATTTTTGTAACTCTCCTTTTCTCAATTCTCTTATTGTACTTAACTAATTTATTCTTTTTTATTGTATTAGTTATATCCTTATTTTGTTGCATTTTATAGAGTGCCATGTAAATTAATATAAATGCCATGTAAATATACTGTGAAATTTTACTCAGTCTATATGTGTTCATGGTTATAGCTTATTTTTCCTGAATCCGTTGACTCTGGAGATTGAGAGCACACTCACCAATTGATGGGTTACCACAGAAGCATTTTGATTCTTTTTCAACTGTACTGAGAGATGGCTTCTCTCTATTTGCCCTAGCTGGTAAATTAATTCTCTTCAGATCCTCTTTAAACAAGTTTCATTTATTATGCTGAAATGCGAAATTACCAATTCTGTTAGAGTGTGTTTTTTCTTTCCCCTGAAAGTCAATGCAAGTTTTACTTTTTTAAAAACAAAATTTTAATCTAAGATGATATAAACCACAGATAACTGCTTAGAAAGACAGAAAGCATTCTTAATGAATACCCATTTGATTGTACTGGAAAGGTTCCACATAAGCTTTTTTAAAAATTCAATCAAATGAGACTGATGAAAGTATGTGATAAAGTAATAAGTATTATAATGGTGTAAGTATTCTATAGTCAGAGTGTTTTGGAAACATTTTAAATTATCAGGCAACCTTAATTCTGTCTGGTTATAGGTAAAATTTGAAATCAAAATGAATTTTTCACAAATTATCATATTGTATAGTATTTGGATAGTTTTCACAAAAATTGCCTGTTACAAAATATTGCCCAATGTTTTATGGATACTGAAAATACAATTTTGTTTGTTTGTTTTATACAAGTCATTTTTGTCATTTGAATGATTTTGTATTTTGTTGCAGCAGTGAAATCTCAGAATCCTAATCACTAGGCCACCAGAGAACTCTCTGTTTGTACTTTTATTTACAAAAATCAAAAGTATATTTTATGGCCTTAAATTGGGGCTTAGTTTTGTAATGACTTGCAAACTTTCGTTTATTAAAAATTTTTTTTACATTTTTATTATAAAAGCTACAAGTGTACAGTATAGTGAGTCATAAATTTAAAAATTATACTACATTTATAGTTATTGAAAAATATTGGCTATATTCCCCATGTTGTACAGTATATCCTCGTAGTTTATTTTATACCTAGTTTTTTGTACCCAAGCAATAGATGCACTTGTGGCATCCACTCACCTCTCTCTGATTTACTATTGGCATTATCATCACGTTCAGGATTCCTCCTACTAATATTAATAGAACCTCGCCCTGGTCCACACACTGTCCACCAAGTTTTGTAGATGTGTCCATCTAGAGATCCTCCCCATAGTTCCAGACCTGTGTATCTGGCTACCTGCTAAATAACCCCATTCTTTCGTTTTCTGAAATATACCCTCAAAAGGAAACTGCT